TGCGCATTCGATTTCTTGGTTTATTTTGTAGAGAAAATCTATAGAGGAAGCTAGTAAGAAAAAAGCTAGTAAAGCTGTCTCTGTTGCTCTTATATTACTTGACTTATTTGTGGACAGTTTGTCTTCTTGTCTATATTTTCAAATGGTTGAAAACTGTTAGATGAACTGATATCTGTGACTCAAGGTGCGGTAAAACCTAAACCAGTAAAAACATTTGTCAAAAGGTTGCCTAAAATCCATAGCAAATCTTAAAGATACTGCCTGGCTTTATGTCTCACTAAATAGTTGTACCACTTGCCAAGTTGTTACTGTTAGTGATATATGTAAACACATCTATTTCCATATAGCTCCATCATTGTATGTGCCAAGTAGTCCAAAGAATGCAATATTTTATTGGTTGCTTCTGTGTGTAGTATAAGGAGATAGTGATGTCATACACACTCTTACGTCACGTGCTAAACATATAGCTGTCAAATCTTTTGCATGTATAACATGACCACCAAGTATCAGCAAAACGTTTGATTGATTTAATAGTTTAAAAAGTTTTATTAAATGCTTGCTTAAGCATTTAATCTACAAAATAGACAAAAACTTAATTTGACATTTTTCTTGAGTACTAAATACAATTCTTGGCAGTGCCTTGATATTGATGGTCTTGGAATACCAAATTGAGAGAAGCTTCATTTAAGTTTATTTCTCTTTTCTTTATTGTAAATTAGGCATTTCAAATAAGAGCTGTTCTTATTTCCGGCAAATTCCCCCTAGTAATAATAAGTGGATTTCTATAGAAAAAATCACGGGTAATTTATTACGATTTTTTATTGCATAATTAAAATAAATCATTTTTTCACTGACGGTAATGCCGTAGTGTATATACCAGTATCAAATTAAAATATTTTAGAAAAAACTATAGTAATCAAGACAAACAAAAAAATACCCTACATTTAATGCCAGCCCTATCCGCCCTGAAAATACCCTCCTCTTCCTAAAAAAAACTTTTTAAAATTCTTGTATATATTATTTTCTCAATATTTTAAAATATCGTAAATTTATTAACAGTAATTTAATCTGTCAATTTTATTTTTTGTCAATAAATTTAATCTGTCAATTTTATGTCAATAAAATTTGATCTAATTTAATATTTGATTTCAAATTTTATTAAAATTTTTTTTTTTTTAAACCATTTAGGTTTTAAAATTCAACCATTAAACCTATAAAATTTAATTTTGGTAATTTATTTCCAAGATGGTTAAAAATAAGAAGAAAGTTTTTTTAAAGTCTATTATAAATAAAATATTAACAATATAAAGCACAGAAACGTTAAACAAAATTAAAAATTACATATAATAAAGTTGTCCATTCGTTTTATTTATACAAAAAATGCGTCAGACAGAATTCATAAGGCCTAAAAAACATTTATTATAAGGAAAATGTTTGCTAAAAAATTGAAAAATTTCTCAGTTGATAGCAGAAGATTAAAACGACTTAACTTTTTTTTACTATTTTCTGTTTAAATGTTATTTTAATATTCAAATAGTTATATTCTTAAAGCCATTTGTGCTATTAACATTTTATTGAATCATTTAAGTTTTTTATTGCAGTTGTTAAAGATTTTGACGCAGTTTTTAAAATTTATATTGCAGTCATTTAAATTTATATTGCAGTCATTTAAGTTTATATTGCAGTCAATTAAGTTTTTATTACAATTATTAACATCTTATTGCAGTCATTAACAAGTTATTAAAGTTTTTATGCAGTTATTAAAGATTTCAAAACCATACAAATATTAATTTAAGTCATTTTCTGTTTCTTCATTTTCCAGTTCTTCTGTAGAATCTATTTCACTTAAATTCCCTTCATCATCACTATTTAAATCGGTTTGCTTTAAATTCTCTTTATGTGATAATTTTGATATTCCTGACAAATGAGATAAAGTGTCAGATTGGTCATCATGTAATTGCATTTTGAACTTGTATGTTTTATCCGTAGCTTCCAATTTACCTGAGAGCATTAAAATAATTCAAATACTTTAAACATTCAAAAGTGATTTGAGTTTTTTATTTTTAAGAACGTTTATAGTTAAATTTTGCAATTCATTAAACAAAATATCATATAATTTGTTAAAAAAATAAAAGTCGAAGAATAAACAGTATAAGAATTTATAAACAATTTATAATATATAAATACAACTTCTCTCAATACTAGTTATTATTTTAAAGAAATTTTAAACACTACCACCTTCAGCTTTAATTGTACAACTAAATTGTAACCTCAATATTCATTGCGTAGGTTTGAAAAATAGGACGTTCAGAACTGCATTCATATATATTGACCGTCGTTTGAATTTCTTGGGTCCATATCTATTAAGTTTTTACTGATTTTCTACTGACTCTTGAATTGATTCAAAATTTATAGGTACGATTTTCAATGTTTTTATCTGATTCCACTTTATATTTTATAAACTTTTGTTTTTATGATGTCCAATTGCAAATAGAAAATATTTGCAATTGTAATGCAAACATTTTTCCAAAATTCAAACAATTTTCTTCTTGTACAAATTCTCTATGCTAATTTCACTTTTCATTCGCCAAGGTTTTTTTTTTCACACTCACATTATATGAGGTCTACATCGGGATAACTAATTTAGAGTTTTGTTTTGTTCTGACGCAAATTTAAGCATTGCGTATTATTTAACAGTATGCAGCTTTTCTGAAAAATTTTCAAAGTTTTTGAGGATGTTGGTATTCAGGGTGATTTTTTGTAGTGATATATTTGGCATGGTTGCATTATTGTTTGATGAGACTTATTATTTAGAGTGTGTTGAGTATCGTTTTTATTAAGCTTTTGCATTATTATATTATAAAGTAATAAATTAAAACCCCTCAATCCTTCTAAGAGGCAACACAATTTTTTTTGATTCGTTAATGAACTTCCTAAATTAAAAAGGGCTGGTTAAATTAACCATTAAAAAAATAAAATCATTAATAGAAATGTTTTTATATAACTTGCTATAACTTTTTCGAAAATAAAGCTTCATATTAATTCAAATAAAACTTAGTGCTTCATTACAATCCACTATTAGAATTAAATCGCTTTTGAGGTATGTGGAATGATTTATTTCCTTATAAGAGAAATGTTGTCTATTTTTTGGGAATAAATAATACAAATGTTTATGCAATATAAAGTGGGAACAGATAAAAATGTCAAAAATAGAACTAAACAATCGAAGTTCAATTTAATAAATTTGGAGCCAAAATTGGAGGTGCAAAGTTAGACAACGGTTAGTATTTTAAAAGCGCAGTTCTAAACGCTATACCTTTGATAATTACTTTTCCCTACCTCTTTGATAACATAATCTTCACTAGGAAAGCCATAAAAAAGTGACATTACTGTTTGTATATAAAGCTGATAGTATCAAAGCTGAAGCTGCTAGTATTAAAGATTCAACAAAATTTTTGGAAAAACAATAAAAATTTTAAAGATAAAATTACTTTTATTAAAATTTTCACCAGAAACAACAAATTGATCGTATATTTAAAAAATTAGCAAAACAAACTTTAAGAAGTAACAATGTTTAAAAGATTAATAATGTTTATTAAAAGTGTTAAACTTTTAATAAACATTGTTTTAACACTTTTAATAAACATTGTTAATCTTTTAGCAACTCTTTTAATAAACAATTAACTTAGATATCTTAGTTGCCTTGAGACATCTTAGTTAACCTTTAAAGTGTTTTTTGTTTCTTTGGTTAGCATGCTAAATTGTTAGAAGTAAAAAAAATTAAAATCATAAAAAATTAATAAAGACCTGAAGATAAATCAAAGGAACGTCCGATTACACCATGATCTTCTTTTGGTGGTGGAGACCACCAATTGTAAAGTGAGCTTACTATTGGTACACTTCGCAGCACACCCTAAAATGCACAAAATATCAAATAAAGTATTGTATTTATATAATATACACTTCTACCTGATATACAATTACACTTTTTCATGTCTTTTAAGATATGAAAAAGTGTTACCTTAAAAGCAAATTTCAATTATTAGAATTTCCAGTTATTTCCTGAAAGCAAGTTGTATGCGCAAACCTGATTGAGGAAAATATTAGAAGGAACTTTGAATGTGCATCAATAAATTATTCCTATGTAGAAAACTTTTTTTGATAAAACTACTTTTTTCTGATAAAAAATGGAATAGTTAAAATCTCATAAATAAAATCAAACAAACATTTACAAGTAAAATTTTATAAAAAGTTACTTAACTTAAATTTATTACTACATTGGCAATTCATAATTAAATTATTTTACTAAGTTGGCCAAGCATAAAAAAAAAAATTAAAACAACCAAATACTCACATCTTGAAAAAACTTTTCTTCTCTTTCTCTTTCTATTTTTGTCATTGCTTCTTCAATATTTTTTTGAACTGACTCTTTCAACATTTCAGCATACTATATTAAAAAGTAAATTAAAGGAAAAATAATTTAAAAAAAATTAGGTTTTAAAGTAAACACAATAACCAAAGTGTTTAAAAGCGAAAAAGTAAAAAAACCTTTTCATTATCTTCCATGTCAATAGTAAGCTTAAGAATTCGATCAGCAAACAATTGCAAATCAAATGCCTCATCAACCTATCAAAAAAGAACATGCTAAAATAAAATTGTGTGAAAAACACATTAACTAGAATTAAATTATGTAGAACTACATTAAAACTAAAACATTATATAAATACTAGCAAGTTATATAATTTTTCTATTATTTAGTATACACCAAACAAATAGAAGTACATTAAATTTTATTGTTTTTTTAAAAAAACACAATAATAATGATTAGAAAGTTTTTTTTAATTAATGGCGTTTTTGTTGTTGTTTTATTAAAATAAATATATATATCCTTATATCATAATTGAAAGAGACTTTTAATGTAAAAAAAGTCTCTTTTGACTACAGTTTTGCAACCTTGACAATTATGCTACATTTTATTGTTGTGCCAATGTCAAAGCAATTAAATTAATGCGGAAGTACATTAAATTTAATTGTTTTTTAAAAAAACTGCAATAATAATGATTAGAAAATTTTTTTAATTAATGGTGCTTTTGTTGTTGTTTTATTAAAAAATATTTTTAAAACATGCACGGAGTGTTGCTACATTGACTATCTTATAGCTTGACTCGCAACGGAGTGCTGCTACATCGACTAACAAATAGCCTGACATCGACTGAGGGTTTGGTTTGGGCAGGCATCAGGGTCTATTTTAGGAAAAAAATTTGAGCGGCGGTAAAATTTTTTAGCTAAAGTTCGTTGGAACGAGGCTTTTTTGCGAAAAGAACAATATTTGCCATAAAAACATAAAAAAAAAAAAAAAAAAAAGATCCTCAAATTTTAATTTGGGCGGCGCTTAAATACGGTCGACGCAGTCAAAAACGGTCTAGAATAGCCCTTATATATATATATATATATATATATATATATATATATATATATATATATATATATATATATATATATATATATATATATATTTAAAATCAATAAAGCAAAGAAATTAATTTATTATGACAATATAGAAGTAGTTACACGCAGCAATCATTCTAAGCTAACATTACAGTCTCCTTAAAAAAAATAGGATAGAAATAAAGCGCTTTCAGACCAAAATATTAAAAATTAAAGAACTGTATTAAACTTGTTATAAAAGCTGATGTTTTTTTTATCTCCTTGTTGTTGTAGGACAAAATACAATGTCATTTATATTAAATAAAAAGATTCGTTAAATACACCAAAAATCTGTTGGTACATATTTATGGTAATATTTATTACCATATCACCATGCATCAAATGTATATACAGTGTTTGCAATTAAGTGTTTGGATTTATAAAATTTTAAAATAACTACCACAATGGAGATCAAATTTTATCTTATTTGTTATCTTCATTGTTATCATCATAGATCAGATGTCATTGTTATAGATCATGTCTTATTTATAAATTAAAATGTTAAACTAAACTAATAAGTTTTCAAAAATCTTTATTCTTGAAAAATAAATTAAAAAATTTCTCAAAACCTTTATATTTTTTGAAGAGAAAAAATCTTATTTTGAATAAACATCAAAATATGGCATGAAGATATTGAAGACAAATGACAAACTTTACTTATAATTTATGGAAAAAAAAGAAAAAAAAAACAATACTCCTCATATTTATTATGCAATTTAAATTTATATTTATAAGTACATTTCATATAATAGTATATGGCTCTTTGATTTAACACCAGCAGTAAAACTTATATATTTAACTATTTTCAAAACATTGAACACTCTTGTAAGGTATCAGATAAGGTGCATAAAAATATAATTCTTACTGAAATAAAATTGTAAAAAATAAAAAAAAATTACCACATTTATTTTAATAAATAACTGTCCATTTGACATTGCACATTTCTCTACAAAGCGACATTGTTGTATAAGCAATTCGAATATTTTTACATTAAGCTCATTCAATTCAGTTTTTTTTATTTCAGAAAGGTTAGACAAGTTTTTTGTTTTCCAGTATTTAGGTAAACACCTTAAAAAGAAAATTCTAAAATTAGCTTTTTTTTAAACAAAATTACATAAAATTAATTTTAAATATCAAAATTATTTATCAAAAATTGTAAATATCTTTTGACTTACTGAAAAGCTCCAAGGGCAAGCTCATCGCTTACATCAACAACTTGCAGATCAGGTATTCTTTGAAAAATTTCACTGAATGTTGTTCTCAAAACTAGTGTATGATCAAGTTCAACCTTCAAAAAATTTGAAAAAAAAGTGAAAAACTTGAAAACAATCCTCTTGAATGGGAAACCAGTGATGTCATGTTTTTTTCATTTTGAGAAAACAAAAAAATGAACTTTGAAGACTTACTATGTTATTTCTGGTTCCATTTATCTTAGATTTGTAAATAAGTATGATCTATATTTTTTTTACATTTTATATGATAAATATTTTTTTTACAATTTACATGATAAATTAGCGTGAAAATATTTTTTAGGAATGTAAATTATAAATGCCTCAAAATCCTAGAATGATTGTCCCTTTGGACATAACCTTTTTTTTTTTGGTTTTCACCTTGTAATTCTAGATTTTGATTTAGAATCCAAAACCTTTTCAATTTTGACCACATTCAGAGGACGTGCGGAAAAACAAAAGAAATCTTTACGCTTTAGATTTACATCACATTTCGCAGATATCAGTTATTTTATAAGCTTTTCTGTAATATTCTTAAAAAATTAAAATTTATTAAACTTATTTTGTTAATTCTTATTTCAACAAACTTTTTAACTCTCAACCCTTTTAACCTTTCACCACCCTGAGGCTAGCTTTGACTCAACTAAGTAGTGAAATTTTTTTTGATTTTTACATTTCTAAACTAAATAATATTTTATTATACAATTTTTTAAATTTTTTTTTAAGAATATTAACCAAGAATTCAAAATAAAGGTTTTTCTTGATAATTGCTTCTTTTTTCCAAAAGTTTTTGATATAAAAACTCTTTCAGAAGGTCCAACTGAGTCTGTATTGTAACATAGTAGGGAATTCTTGGAAGAAAAAAATTTCACGAATAAGGCGTGTTGGTACTCAAAATTTGGCTTTGTAAAATGGTTTGATATGTTCAGAAAAATTTAGGAACATGTTCAACTCTATCTTAATAACTTCAAGTGGTTAATGTTTCTTATGACACATACAAAATTCTTCCATCCAATTTATTGGTTACAATTTTTTTTGTATCCATAATACAAAAAAATATCACTGCAAAGAAAATTTAAACTCTTTTTTAATGCCATTGTTAAACATTTTGGTAAAATTATCGGAGGAAACTTAATGCTAAATAGTTCTACTTTAGTCAACCAATATAACTTTAAAATTTAATAAACATTAGTAACAAAAAATTAGGTGAAATGATGCGTCAAAATGGTCATTAAATAATGTATTTCTAGTATATTGCGATGTTTAAGAAATTTGGTACTGTGAAAATTTGCATTTGCAACCTATAAAAAAATTTAAACAAAAGACAACTATTGACAGCAAGCAACTAGTCAGGTCTTAAAATGTGGTCATATATGCAAGCAACTATGTGGTCAGGTCTTAAAATCAGTTCTAAAATACATAAATACATAATACTGTGAAAATTCATTTTATGAAATCAGGAAACTGCATACTGCATTGAATGTGAAAACAAAAAAATGGGTTATCTCTCTGTTTAATAAAAAAGTGATAAGTTGCTTTTTTCAATGCCCAAATTCAAGACTCTAGACTTGTCTAAAAATGGTGAAACTGATCACATTAATTACTTTATATTAATATAGGTATAATGATTTAAATTATAAAAGTCTGTCATGTAGAAGGGTTTAAAATTAGCGGCCCTAGGTATAATAAGCTTTTTTATTTGTACCTAGGGCCACTAGCTATTGTACCTAGGGCCACTTACTGAAAATTAGGTTTAACTCCATAATAAATTAACAACAAAAATAAACACATAAACTTGATTAGAAATTTATTTAATTTTATATTGTTTTCAAATTCTTATTTGTCAAAGTTGACAAATAAGTTGACGCGTTAAACGCGTTAAATTAAGCATTTCCTCAAGGATTGTAAAACAATCTAAAATACCAAAAGCAAAAATTCATTTTAGACCATCAAAAAACGTTTTCCGATTCTCAGACAGCAACACTCTGATAATCAAAATAGGATTAAAAAATAAATTTTTTTATAATAATCATTTGACTGAGGAGCATAACTTAAAACTTCATAAAGCAGGATGGTACAAGGAGACCCTGTGAACACAAACTTCATAGCTCTATTGTTGACAAAAAAAAAATGTCATTCTGTTTAACTTTTTAAATAATGTTTTCAATATAAAAAAAATGTCATTCTGTTTAACTTTTTAAATAATGTTTTTAATATAAAAAAAATGTCATTCTGTTTAACTTTTTAAATAATGTTTTCAATATAAAAAAAATGTCATTCTGTTTAACTTTTTAAATAATGTTTTCAATATAAAAAATGTCATTCTGTTTAACTTTTTAAATAATGTTTTTAATATAAAAAAAATGTCATTCTGTTTAACTTTTTAAATAATGTTTTCAATATAAAAAAAATGTCATTCTGTTTAACTTTTTAAATAATGTTTTCAATATAAAAAAAATGTCATTCTGTTTAACTTTTTAAATAATGTTTTCAATATAAAAAAAATGTCATTCTGTTTAACTTTTTAAATAATGTTTTTAATATAAAAAAAAAATGTCATTCTGTTTAACTTTTTAAATAATGTTTTCAATATAAAAAAAAATATTTTAATGATTAAAATAAATCTGATTTTAAATTTAAGAAAAATCAGAAGATTTAAAAGTTAAATTCTATCAAATTAAAAAAAAAAAAGTTGTACTAACAATTTTATTATGCAGTACTTCAACAAAATGATCAATATCAGCTTTAGATGTTTCACGAACTAAAAAAACGAAAAAGCTAACAAAACAAAAAAAAAAAAAAAAAAAAAAAAAAGAGACAAGAATTACACTAAAAATGTTTTATGTCATATGATAATACACTAAAGTCATATGATAATACACTAAAAATGTAAAAATAGTTTATTAAAAGATTCCACATATAATCGTAATAAAACCATAAAAATAAAGCTAATAATTTACATCTTGAAGTGCATAACGGATGGAATTTCAAACAAACACCTTCTCTTGGTATATTTACTAGATCTATAAAAACTTTTGAATGGAAATCCAAATGATTGAATAACTAAATATAAAAACATTTAGAATCAAAAATATGTAAAAACTTGAAGAAAATAAAATTAAGAAAACCCTTACATGCTCATTGCAAGCATCAACTAGTTTTTGCGAAACATCAACCTTCCCTCGAGGAGCCGCTTTAGTTGATTTTAAATTACTCTCTTAAAAAAAAGAGGATAAGAAATCATATATAAAAACCTAACAAAGGTTTTTAAAAACCAAAAAAGGATTTTAGGAAGTTTTATGTATAAAAAATTGCAATATAAAAGACATATATATCTATATTTTAAGAGTTTTAACTATTGAAAAAGATTAAATAACTTAATAACTTGCCACAAAAAAGTTTTGAAATTTTTTAAAACCCTTGATGCAGTTTTAAAACCCATGAGGCAATTTTAAAATCAATATGTAATATGTAAAAATGTATAAATTTTTTGCTTATAGTATAACACACTGAAAACTTATAGTTTTATTGGTAAGTTAATTTGACCCTTTGAACGACAACATTTTTTGATGAGAACTTTAGATCTAATAACATTAATGTCAAAGTTTTACCAGCAATAACAGATTTTTAGAGTGGGTTAAAAAGTATGGTTATGCTTTTCTTTTTTAAAAATATCCTGATTCCAAGATAAAAAGTTATAGATTCCATAACTTTTTAACTTGGAGTCTAAAGATTAATAGGGCATCCCTGGTTCTAATAAAAAAACAAAATTTTTTTTCAAAGTATGTATTACAAAACATGTATTAGAAAAAAAACTTTAAAATCTCGAAAGTTTAAAATCTTAAACTAAGCACAAACACCAATCAAATAATCAACATTTTATACAAACACCAATCAAATAATCAACTTTTTATACAAACACCAATCAAATAATCAACTTTTTATACAAACACCAATCAAATAATCAACATTTTATACTAACACCATTCAAATAATCAACATTTTATACAAACACCAATCAAATAATCAACATTTTATACAAACACCAATCAAATAAATCAACATTTTATACAAACACCAATCAAATAATCAACATTTTATACAAACACCTATAATCAAATAATCAACATTTAATACAAACACCAATCAAATAATCAACATTTTATACAAACACCTATAATAAATAATCAACATTTTATATTACTTTACAAAACTTAAAAAAAAAAAAAATATTTACATGACAAAAGAACTTATTAATTTTCAAAAAATAATATATGTATTAAATTAATAATCAAATTATTACCAGAACTAAATACTAGAGGTAAAGAAGGTGAAGCTTTATATTTAAAAATGACAATTGGTGAAACACCTGATGGCTGTTCTAGTCTTTTTATACTACTTATCATATCAAGGCGATGGCTAATCTGTTGTGCCTAAAAAAGAACAACTATATTTCAAATGTATGAAAAACAATGAAATATAAAAAGATAATATAGAGTAAAAAGTCATACAAGTTCAGATGCATGCTCAATTATTCTCTTTAAATCATGTGTACCTAATAACATTCCATATAAATGTTTTTACACATTTTATATTAATTTTTACACTTAAAAAAACCATAGAAATATACATAGATTTCAAAAAAAAAAAAAAAAAAAAAAAAAAAAAACTATAGGGAGATAAACTTAAATAGATTTTTATTTTAATTACCCATAAATTGAAGCATGACCCATAATGGCAAAGAAACAATTTCACTCTGGTCAAATTTCATAGATACCAGAGAGTTCTAAAAATGATACATATAATTATGCTACATATATACAGCACTACACTTTTAAATATCTTGAAGATTGTGGCTTACTATACTGTTAATTAAATAATTGCTAACCATGTTTAAATAGTTATTAAATATTTCAGATCTATTTTGTAATATATATGCGAGTGGTGTTTGTCTAAAATTATGTATGTGTGTGAGTGTGTAAAATTACGATACACATAAATATAATATAAAAAACTTTAGTTAATAAAAACTTATCAGATCTAATTTTAAAATAAATAACAAACTATTTCCTTTTAAAGTTTAAAAATTATTACTGAGGATAACAACCATGCTTTTTAATAACATAAACAAAAAACATTAAAAAAAAGACAAAAGACAATTATTTACTTACTGATGATGGTTGCCTTGTTTTGTAAAATGTCTTTTATATGTTAAGACTAATTATTACAATATTTTTATATATTTAAACATATAATAAAACACCACACAACAAAAACCAATCATGTTATTTGTGATTTCTTAAAAAATAACACACAATTCAAGATAAATGACAACAACATGTTGTTATTAATAATTGCTACTAAATTTGTGTAAAAAAATATTATTTATAGAAAAGATACACAAAATGGAATATTAGGTAAACCAAACCATGTAGGTAAATTTAATGTTAAACTGTCTGCAGAAGTAGCTACCTAATTTTTAAAAAATAAAAAAACTTTTGAGCCCTCATCTGATTTTTAATAGAACTAAATAAAAAAATAAAAACAAAAACAAAAAACTTTTTAGGTTCATTGAACTGAAGAAACAGTTTTAGATTTTTTTCTTTTAAATTAAACAAACAAAAACTTATTAATCAGATTAAAACTAAATTTTTAATTTATTCTTAATTTTTAATTTATTCTTAATTTTTAATTTATTCTTAATTTTCAAGTTTAGATGAGTAGTTACCAACTCTTCCAGCAACAAAATTCACTAACTTGTATTGATGGTTGCATTTGTGTCAAAGCAAGATTTGCAAGAATATCACTAAATTTTTAACATAAAATGTAAATGTATAAAACTATAGAAATATTGAACAAAGAAATGTTAAAAAAAAATTTAATTAAAGAACAAGTTTTTTTATCAATATTCTGAGATATTAAACAAATAGAAAGAAAAAAATAATTGTATATGCTTCAATTTTAAATTTTGAAATAAGTGACTTTAATTTTTAGAGAGACATCTGGTTTTGCCACTGACCATCACACATTACACTTAATTACATTATTTTCTTTCTTTATAGTTAAAGCAATAATCTTTTAGTTTGATACTTATTAGGTATGTTTTTCAAAATTTAACAAATCAAAAAAAAAAAAAAAAATTTCAAATGTTGATCAAACATCGAATTATTCCGCCCATTGTTGCATCATTCACTACACGAATTACTTTATAGTCAGATGGTAGTAACTTCTTGGTGATGATTGATTGCGAGCAACCAGTATTCACAAGCTCTGAAGCGTTTCTTCAGTTTATTACGAAGTCGATAGTAGATAGTATCGTATAGGGACAAGTCCTTGTAGAAATACCTAATGCGAACTTGTCCCATTTAAGTTTCACTGGTTTTGTCGACATTTTGACGAAGCAGTCCTTCGCAGCATGTTTATGCGAGCATTTCTTGCATAAGGAGGTACACTCACGTGCAAAGTGATTTAATGATTGGCAGTTAAAACATCTGCGCCTATCCCTAAATCAACTGATTTAGGGATAGGCGCAGTGAGTGACATACATTCACTGATTTAGGGATAGGCGCAGTGAGTGTACATACATCCACTAATTTAGGGATAGGTGTAGTGAGTGTGCATACATCCACTGATTTAGGGATAGGCACAGTGAGTGTACATACATCAATTAAGGGTTTTGGTTTGGGCATGCATTCTTTAAATAAAAGAAAAAAAAATCAACCAATCAGAAATCACTACCACGACTTTAAGAAAAAAATTAAAGCGGTACCGTTGCGCAAGCAACAGCGTTTTTTTTATAAGATAAGACAAACTAGTATATAAAAACCTAGAATATTTCTATTATCTCCAAGTTGTTTAAAGTTGTTTAAAGGAATATGGATTGTATTTTGAAGGACAACAGATTTACTTTGAAAACTTTTAAATCCTGGGACTTTGCTGATGCTTTTCTAATCACAGAAAAAAAGAAGACTTACATTATTAAAATCAAATGTAAGTTATGTGATCTTCATCAAAATAAAATATTATCCAAAACCAATGGTGCCATAAGGGCAGCTGTCCTACGGTTTATAAATAACACAAGTCATGTTAAAATATTTTAACATGTTACTATAGTTTATTTATGTTGATATATAAATAAAAATATAGTTCAATAAATAAATTAAATTTGTTCTCAACAAAGATCTCCTCATATTTATTCTTTTTTATTTTATTATTTTAAGTTACAAACGAAAAAAAAAAAAGTTTTGTAATTATACGTAGAATAAAAATACTTGTGAGTTTGTTCATAAGTTAAGAAACTTAATTTTTAATGAACAAATTTTTAAAAATGTATATTATAAACAGATACAATTCAAATTATTAAATATACTTATATTATTTTAGTTAAGCATTTTTTTAAGTCTGCGCGATTAAAGTTTTGCGTAGAAGTATTTTTTTAAGTTTGCGCGTTTAAAGTTTTGCGTAGAAGTATTTGTTTTTTGTTTTAAGAATAATTCCCAAAAGAGTTTGCATAATTAAGACTTTTATATTTAATTTAATTTTTTTTTTTAATTCCCAAAAGTCAAAAAAAAGATTTAATCATTAAAAACGATTTTTCTCTATAGCTGTTTCCTTGTGATTTGTTTAAAATGTAAAACATTTTTATGACAATGTAAAAAATTTATGAATTAAATTTTCAAAATTAAATGCTCAAAGCAGACATAAAACATTTTTATATTTTTATATAACGCAAGTTAAAACGCTAAGCAACATAAGTTTAGAAAATATTTAAAAACCTAAATTATTCTTTGCTAGTCAAAACAAAATCACTGTTTAAATAATTAACATGTTTTTTTGTTTATCATGTTATTATTTTTTGTTTACTCCAGAAATTTTTAAAAATAAAAAAAATCATTATTATTATTTATTTAATAACGATTTATAAACAATAATTATTCAAAAACAAATTTCAGAAATAATTAAAATATATATATATATATATATTTTTTTACTAAATAATATTGAACTAAAATTAATATTAAAATCAAAATTGAAAACATAACAAACTTTTCATAATAAATTTACATTTAAAACGTTTAAAGTTAATTGTTAAATTGAACTAGTTAGCTGTTTTTATTTATTGCGGTAGTTAATACACTTAACGTCTATAAAAAAAAAAAGATAGTCTCATGACGTCAAATATCGCGTTAAGCTAATGCATTAAGCACTTTTTTATTTAAAACAAGGCTTTAAATAGTAATTAAAACATTTCCGAAACAAAACTCATTTAATGTATATGGAAAATATTTTTCGAGACAAAAAAAAAAAAAACGCTTTTAATTACTTAGCTAAATACCTATAAGTATCTACAAGTTAAATTTTATAGTGTTAACGCTGCTTTATTTACAACTAAATTTAAAGAAGTTTTTTTAAGTCAGGATTACTGAAGATCTTTTAACTTTGTCAACTTTTTATAATAACACAATATGGTTTATTTGTTCTTGATTATGTAGAGAATTAAACCTTAAGAACAAACAAATTTTATGTGTCTAGAGTAAAAATTTATGTACAAAACAAGATAAATTGTGAAGCATACTCTACCAGCAGTTTGTGGTAAAAATTTGAAAAAATCAAAAGCCGCTTGCAGTAGTGTTAAATAATACAAAATATTTTTTTTAACAGAATCTTCATAAGGATGATAATCATTTAATAACAAATATAACACAAAAAATAATTTATAGCAATAGACGACCTTAAAATATCTGAAATGCTTTATATTTTTAATGCAAGCTTTGCGAAAGTTAGAAAATAAAATAACTAAAGAAATTCTACAGTAATTTCATGATAAAAAAATTTTTTATATAAAATAAGTAACTAAAAATATTCTTTAATCATCTATAATAATAATTAAAAATTCTGTAATTTGATTGAAAAATAAGATATTTCAGATTTCTTAACAAAATTCTACAATGACGTCATTTACTAAAACTCTTTGAAATTAAACGCGCTTGAATAAATTATAAAGTCTGTAGATTACAGCGTATATTCTAAAGATTTTCAGAGAATAGCTACTGTGGAAACGACGAGCTTCAAGTAAAACACAAAGTTTGTTTTTGTCGGCATACATTTATTATTTTGTTTTAATTAAAAAAATTCTGCCTAAACATTTTTTTTATCATTCTCTTTAAAATAAACACAACTTGTCTCGGCACTTTGGGATCCCATTACACAGTATTAGTATAAAAATACAATATAAAGCAATTTATGCAATACTGTAATGATTCCATAAATAATTTACTTTTTTTTTTAATAAAGCATATTATTAAGCATATTTTTATATATTAAGAAATACTATTTAAGGATAGTATTTTGTTGAGCACAAAATTGTTAAAACATTCATTTTTATAACTTTTTGACCTTAACTAATAGAAAAAAAATTTAGAAATTCAATAAACAAATCATTCAACAAATTATTTAAACAATAAATGAATAAAGTTTGTTTACAGTAAAAAAAAAAATAAAAATTCTATTCATTATAAAAACAAACACGAGAGCCAAGAGCAGCTAGATTTTTGCTGCTCCGGCTCCACTAAAAAACAACAACTCCCGGGCTCTGGTTCCACAAGCCTGAGTAAAAGTATATTTTCTTTTTAGAACATTCAAGATTATATTCTTTATTATTCCAAAGAAACATTTTTTTTAACAAATTTATTCTTACACAAAATTTTATTTTAAAAATTCAAGTATTTTAACAATATATATAATAGTCAGTATTTTATTTTTCTTTATAGTCAGTATTTTATTTTAACAATATATATATAATAGTCAGTATTTTATTTTTCTTTTAATGAAAAGATTGACAGCCTAAACCAAAACCCTCAGTCAACATATGAACTGTATATTGACTGTAGTTTTCTCTATTTTATAATTTTTTTAACTTTGTTAACCTATATTGTCAAGTTTTTCTAATTGTCGTTTTTTTACCATTTGTGGTATATATCTAAGTTGAAAGTATAGATATATAGATAAACTCTCTAATATATTTTGCACACTTAAAACGAGTATGTCCTACTTTGATATACCCTAATATTACACTAATATTTTAAAAGTTATATGATAACTTTTAAAATATTATATATATCAGCGCTCTAAACAGTTTTTCAAAGCTTGCCAATCAAATGTAATTTTTTCACAAAAACAGGTGATTTTCTCTTAAATTTTTTGAAATTTCCCTAAAAATAGCTGATCATTGATAGGCCGTTATTTCGAAAGCTGATATATATATATATATATATATATATATATATATATATATATATATATATATATATATATATATATATATATATATATATATATATATATATGTATGTGTATATATATATATATATATATATATATATTTTTACATTAAGTTTATTGAAATGACTTTAAAAACAAGAAAAATTGTTATAATTTTATAAATTTAAGCTAAAAAATAAAAAATAGTTTATATATTATACATTTTGGAAGTATTTTATGATTGAATTGCTTAAAACATCTACCAAATAAAATTCACAATTTAATAAAAATATCTATAGAGGTTTGAGTCATTATTAAATATTGTGCAACATAAAATTTAAACAAAACTTATCAATTATAAATGATATTCGGATATCATTTATATTTAGTTTATTTTCATCTTTTTAAATCATCTCAACAAATAAACAAAATGAATGATATAAAAACTTTGTAGTAGAATAATTTTTGCAGTAGAATCAATTTACCCTAATACTTTCCACAACACACAAAAATATGATGTTAGTAATGTGGCTACAACAACCATACATTTTCAGACCAGAAAAACACCAACTGATTCTATTGATTTTAGGCAATTATTTAATATATATATATATATATATATATATATATATATATATATATATATATATATATATATATATATATATACTTAGCTATACTTAGTAGCGTTTGAATGTCTTGACTGAACTTCAGCAGAAATCAGTTCATAATTTTGAATTTGTTGAAAACTTATTTTTTCTTAAAAATCAAAAGATTGTTTAAATTTACCATTAACAGCCTCAACAACCATTAACAGCCTCAACAACCATTAACAGCCTCAACAACCTATCTGCATTTTGTATGGTTAGCTTAAAAATTAGTAAACTGACTTTTAGAACAAATTGACATCTTGGTAAATACTATATATATAGTTTTCAATTCATCTATGATATCTCTAAAGCCTCTCTTAGTAAATCCTTGGACTGAACTAGTTCTTTTTTGCTGCAACTATTAATGATGCAACATGACATAAGATAACACTTAATGTTATTTTATGTCATGTTGCATCATTAATAGTTGCAGCAAAAGGTCTATTAACATTAATAGTACAACCATTTGCAGTACATACAACAAAAGACTTAACTAAATGTTTTTTTTTTTGTGCACTGTACAGGTTTCGTAGTAAAGAATTATTTAAACTGTTTTCACAGAATAAATAAGTACAATCGGTTATAATTGCTAACTATTCATCTTTTAAATCAAACAAATCTTTGATCATACCTGTGTTATTTAATAGCCAATCTTTTTTGTGATTGTGATTTTGCTCCTAAATTTTTGCCAACAAAATTAGCATTAAGCAAGGCATTTATCTGATGACAATATTTCTGTACTTTCAATCGACATGTCAAAGCAAAATAACAAGCAATTGAACTTTGATCAAAACCACTTAAACTAAAAGAGATGAACTGCAAGAGCTTGTTTGTTCAAACGATTGAATGAATTTTTTTATTGTTTTCACTTACCAATTATAGAAATTCATCTTTGGTAAAATCTGTATTTTGGAAACAAAACTTAGTTGTTACGTTATTTATATATATTATTATTATTTCTATGATTTTATAAATAAAATCATAGAAATAAGATTTCTATGATTTGTATCAAGCAAGAGATTAGTTTTATTCAAAGACTTTATATTCTTGTAACAAATTATCTGATCCTGTATAAGACATAATTAATCGCCTTTAAAATGATCAAAAACTTTATCAAATTTTCATTTTTAATTTCATTGTTTTTTAAACCTATACTATCACCTCTCGTTTGACAAACACAACAATATCTATTTCTTAGATTATTTAATACCATTTTGTAATATTGTTATCTTTTTTTTTCATTTTTAGTAATAAAAAAAGATAAGATTTAATTATGAAACAGAGCTTGAGTTTTTGATTATTAATTTGTTAATTGATTATTTTTACAAAAAAAAATACATCAAATTAACATACTTGCAAAATAATAATAATAATAATAATTTCTTAAAAAACATTTTTTTTTAAGGAGGGAGGGGGGGGGGGGGGTAAAATTATTTTCTTTTAATTAAAAAAAAAAAATGAAACTTTTAAAATCTCAACATCAATCCATTTTTTCTGGCATTTTGCAGATCAGAACTGAAAATTTTTAGAAGCTACAAATATCATTTAAGGTTTACAAGCTCCTTCTACCCTTACCTACAATTAAAGTGGAGTTTTTATATCCAATATTTTTTCCTTCTCCCAGGTAAGATACCTTTACCCCAGCTAAAAGCCTCTTTTGCCTCAAAGAATCTCAACAACCTGACTTAAATCATGATCATGACTAAAACTGCAGAAATCATAATACATATGTACACACAGACAAAAACACATAAATATCAATAAAAATACTAAATTTTCATTGATATTGTACACAATTTATATATATATATATATATATATATATATATATATATATATATATATATATATATATATATATATATATATATATATATATATATATATATATATATATATATATACAAAAACACATAAATATCAATATATACAAATATATACAAAAACACATAAATATCAATAAAAATACTAAATTTTCATTGAAATTGATATATATATATATATATATATATATATATACATATATATATATATATATATATATATATATATATATACATATATATATATACATACATATATATATATATATATATATATATATATATATATATATATATATATATATATATATATATATATATATATATATATATATGTATATATATATATATATAGATCTATTACATTTTAATGTTAACAAATGTTACCCTTCAACATGAAACCAAATCCCAGATTGAGTGCAAATTTCACGTAACCGCTCAAGATTATCAGTATGTCCTGATAAAGGAGTACCAGCATATGCTATTAATAATAGCGGTGTCTTTCCACACGATATATCATCAGTAACGTGTCTCTCAAATGCACTAACATCCTGAAACATATAGATATTATAATACATGTAGATATTAATATAAAATATTATGATTGTTTTTATATTTACTGATTTTTTGCTTGTTTGTAGTTTTTTTTTTTTTTTGTAAAAACTCATGTATTATAATAAGTTATAATGTTCTTATTACTATTACAATTTTTATAAATTCATCTTATTATTTATTCATATTATTTCATTGCTTTATATTATTGCTTAACTTAATGCCGTTACTAATTCATGCACGTTTACATGGAGTTTTATTATAAATAACATTTAGCATGCTCTTTCTCTTTATATTTTTGACCAAGCGATGAGGTATTCTAAATCTTTATAATCTGTTAAAATCTGCTTAATCCATAATAAGATTGAAAACTTTGCTTCATCAGTAATAAGATTAAAAACTTTTTAATGAGATGACTTCTGATGATAAACATGTTATTTTTAAATAAATATAGTAACTTTTAAAGTCAGGTAATTTGTTTAATTCATGCACTTTAATAATAACACAATTCAAGTCCTTATTGTATTTAAAGTATATTAATCTGTAATTTTTAAAAATTAGAAGACGATAATGACTCTAGAAGACAATGCTCTTTTCAAAGGTCAAAACGTCAAACTCTTCGTAAAGTTAGTGTCAATCTCCAAAACTCTTGCATCACACTATCAACTCTATGTTGCATGGTAAATACAAGATCGTTTAATATCTTATTTTATAGAAAATCTGTTTGCTTTTATAATATAAAAAACCAGATTGTTTTTTTAAAGTTGTTAAAAATTTATTAAGAGGTATGTCATTAAACAAATATTACAAAAATAAGGTTGTATTTTATAAATGTTCCTAATTTATATATTTTTCTTAACTTATATATTTAATTATATTTATATGTTATTTATTGTGTTTAAATAGGTTAAGGTTTTATGTTTTGTAAGTGTGTGAATATCTTTTATATTTTAGGTGTTTCTATGTTTGTGATGTGTTATATGTTATTATTAGTGATTATTATGTTATTTGCATGGTTTCAAATTGTTGTGACTTGGCTTAGTTTACAGCAAGAATTATTAGACTTTGTCAAAATGAAAGAAACCAGGCTAGGCAAGATGAATTCAACCGTTGCTAAAATGAAAGAGATGAGCTTAGGCTAGCTGAGGTAAATTGTCATTAAAATGAAAGAGATCAGCCTAGGTGAGCTAAGATAAATTGTCGTAGAAATTAAAAATATCAGGATAGGTGTTATAATTCCTCTTTATCTTTTGCTTCCTTCACAGCCAAAATACCTTCTCCCTCAAATAATTGCCTGTTTTAGGGTTTATAAGCAAATTATGAATCATGTTGGAAATTGAAGGTTTTCTTAACATAGTTTTAGTTAAATATATATGATTCTAATGTAGCGGTGTCATTTAGAATGGAGCAACCTGATAATGATAAATGAATTAATGCAACTCTTACAAACTTTAAATAATCAAGAGAACCCATTTTCTTCTGCGTTTAACAACATATTTGAAGTAGAGGATAGAAAAATGATGATAGCACAATCAACTGGAGCACCCTGTTACTTTGTCCTAGTATTATAGTTATTGGCTTGCTGTTAGACAAACTTTTAGTCCTAAATACAAACTAATTAGTCCTATATGATAAATTTTTAATTTAATGCTGTTGCTGTCGTTACTCATTTGTGCGTGTTTGACTCTGAGTTTTTAAAAAAGATTTGTTACGCTACACCATATAATATATCACCTTATATTTTTGACCACATGATAAGGTATTTTCAAATCTTTATTATCTATTGAATCTTGTTAATATCTGTTGAATCAGTTATAAGATCTTAAATCTTTATATTAGATAATTTGATGCAATCATAAAATTTGACTTTTATATAAAATAAGCTATTTTAAATGCCTACAAACATTATTGAATAAATATTTTTAAAGAATTACAAAAAAATTCATAAAAATTATTAGTTTCAAAAAGTGTTTTACGAAGAGGTTCTCCTAATAATTATTTTTTAATTGTGTTTAAAAGATAAACAACCTCATGAAGTAAGTTTCTTGTTTGTTATCTGTTTAGTCACATTTTTGAGTTCTCAAATAAATAGAGTACATAACAAACTAATGTGTATTAAGTGTATTCAATAATAATTTTGCTCCACTTTTAGGTCAAATTTCTTCTCCTATGATTGATTGATTTTGAAAATTCCTACATAGCAGAAATTTAGAAATGTTCTTAAAAAAAGTGATTGTATTCAAAAAGCTGAAACAAAGCTTGATAATCTTCATATTATTTACTAAAAGATATATGATAATGAAAGAATTGAAATTGAAATTAATTTCAATTTAAATTGTTTTATATATATATATATATATATATATATATACTTTTTAAAATTATTATTAGGGAGTCATTTAATGTTCAAGGGTATATATATATACTTTTTTAACTAATATTAGGGACCCATTAAATGTTCAAAGGTTTACATATATACTTTTAAAATTAATATTCGGGACCCATTAAATGTTCAAAGGTCTGGAGGTACCCCTAAAAATATTTTTCATTCAAAAAATTTTTAAATCCAGTGTTATTTTATCATATAGAACAATTAAGATGCATGTTGAAGTAATAGGATAATTTCAATAAAAATTTTCGGTACTTTGTGGAATAACAACAGCAAATATCTGATGCTGTATTTGTACTAACAGCAACTTCTTTAAAGGGATCCCCAACTGCCGAGACAAGTTGTGTTCATATTAAAGAAAATGTTTAAAAAAAACATTTGGGCTAAATTTTTTTGATTGAAACTAAATAATGAATGCATACCAACAAAATTAAAATTATCATTTTAGTCGAAGCTTGCCTTCTCCATTTTTTTTTGGTTCTTGGGGTCTGTATGTTAGTCGCAATCTGCAGACTTGATAATTTATTCCATGCGTGTTAATTCATAACAGTTTTGGTATATGATGTCATTGCAATATCTTTTTAAGATAGCTTTTTTTTGTTATTGTTTTTTTAAAGATATAAGTATTTTTATAACCTTTTCTTTCACTTAACATGCGTTCTTCCTCAACTTTCTTTGTCGTCCAAGGGACACATAAAAAGTAACCTTTTATATAAAGATTTGCTTCTAAACTGCTTACGGGTTAGTCTTTTACTTACAAGTAGTAATATGTATAACAAATCTCTTTATATTTAAAATAGGCTGATATTGCTTGTGGGTTCGTTTTTCTTTTCTTTTTTTTTTTAATTTTTCTGTTAATTAAAATTGAGTTGATAATGCCGCCAGGCGGCAAAGTAACTTTCTGCTGAAAGGCCAATTTTTTAGGGAGGCGGGAGCTGTAAGCAGCGGCCTCTCGTTTAATTTTTAGCTGCAAAATGTTCTTTCTTCCACCTCCAGTAACTTCTGCTCTTCTATTGGTGGCCGCAGCTAGAGTTATTTTTTAAAGGCAAAATGTTTTGGAGGCTGTCGCCATTAAGGAGGCGGAAGCCATTGGTTGCCGCCCCAAAAAAAAATTGTGGAAACAGAATCATTTGGAGGCTGCTTCTAATGGCTTCTGTCTCTTAACTAGCTGCGGCTGCCAAATTGGAGTCGGGAATGTTTGCCTCCCGCAAACATTCCCGACTCCAATTTATCGAATAAATTTTTAAAAGTTAAAAATTTATTCGATAGTCCTAGACCACTCTGACAAAATAATAATTTTTTTTTCAAATTTTTTTTTAAATAGTCAATAAATCATACAAAACAAAACTTTGATGTCAAATAACATTTGTAAATAAATAACATTTAACATTAGTTAATTAATAACATTTAACATTTGTTTACAGTTAATAATTTAACTGCTCGTTAACTTAAAGGCAAATGTGGAAAATTTCATTAAATCCGCTGCCAGGAGGCGAATATTTCTGCCTCCAATTTATCAGCCGCAGCCAGCTGGGAGGCAAAAGCTATAGGAAGCGACCTCCAAATGGTTTTGCCTCCAAAATTTCTACTGGAGGCAGCCACCATTGGCTTCCACCTCTCTCTATTGGCGTCGGCCTGAAAAACATTTTACCTCCAAAAAAAATCTCTGACTGTGGACGTCAATAGAAAGGCATATGCCATCGGAGGCGAAACATAAAAAATTTTGCTGCTAAAAATTAATTGGGAGGCAGCCGCCGTCTGCTGCAGAAGAAATGTATAAATACTTTTCATTTTTAAAATTTGCTAAAATTGCTTGTGTGTTTGTATTTTTTTTTTAAATCTTTTAAAAATACTTTTATTGACAAAAAAAATTTGTTTCATACTAATATATTGTAACTCTTTGTTAAGACTAAAAAGTAGAAAATAAAATATAGCAAAAACATTTGCTAAAAAGTATAATCCTTTTCGTACTAAAAAGTAGAAAATAAACTTTTTAATTTAAATTTAATAGTTCCGTAAACTAAAGATTGACAGGTATATTTCTAAATAAACATTACGCAAACCTGTCAATCTTTAGTTTACAGAACTATTAAATTTAAATTAAAAAGTTTATTTTCTACTTTTAGTACAAAAAAAGATTATACTTTTTAGCAAATGTTGCTATATTTTATTTCTACTACAATCAAAAAATCAAATATTTGTATAATTTTTTACTAATCACAAATATTTGTGATTTAATAAAAAATTATACAAATATATATATATATATATATATATATATATATATATATATATATATATATATATATATATATATATATTTCAGGCTTGGTCGGGAAGCGGGTGTGATCGCACTCGATAATTGACCACGGAAATAATATTTAGTTGCGTAAAACCGGCCAGATTTTTTAGTCGTTTTGAGAACATTTCAAAAACAAACAAAAAAGCGCAACAAGATTAACTGGACCATTGAGAGACAGTTAAAAAAAGAAAACAGATTTTAATGAAAAAAAACTTAAAGCAAAAAAATACGATTAGAGCAAATATTTTTGAATCGCCGTTCTTTTATATTTTTTTATAAAATTAGGCGACATTTTTTATATAAAGTAA